TGGCGGTCGCCTGGTCCCTGGCGGTCGCCTGGTCCCTGGCGGTCGCCTGGTCCCTGGCGGCGGCCACCAGCTCTGCGAGGGCCGGGAAGCTTCTGATGTCCTCGGTGTGCAGGCCCAGCTTCTGTATCTGCAAAGGCCATGAGAACAAGTTGAGACACTGCGACGTACGGGATGTGAAGAGCCTGTGACAACTGGAACATTCGCCCTCGCGCTGCGCTGAGTGAGAGGCCGCTCCCCGAAGAACGGCAGCATGTTTGTTCCTTCTGGACCAGCGGTTCTCAACCTGTGGGTCGCGACCCCTTTGGCGGTCGAACGACCCTTTCACAGGGGTCGCCTAAGACCATCCTGCATATCAGATATTTACATGACGATTCATCACAGTCGCAACATGACAGTGATGAAGTAGCAACGAAAATAATTTTATGGTTGGGTCACAACATGAGGAACTGTATTTAAAGGGCCAGAAGGTTGAGAACCACTGCATTAGAGACGTACTTATTGCAAAACTGCATTCTGGGTCAGACACTTGGCATTCGAAGAAGCCAGCGTGTTAGCTGACCCCCACCCATCCAATCAGAGCCCAGCGGGGTGAGAGCCTTTGGTGGCTGGCAAAGACAAGCCCCCCGAGGGGCAGAATCAATGAGCTGCTTTTCCGGGGAGAAGTCTCCAGAAAGGACAGACGGGCCTTCATTGCGTAACCTGTCACAAGCCCTTTCTAGAATCGATGAATTGAAGACACTCTGGCACAGCGTCTCCTGTGAGTTGCTTTGGTAACTGAGAAGGCACAGCGAGTCCTCACCGCAGCTCAGCAACAGGGCCCCCGCGGCCTCGCACGGTGAGGTCCGGGAGGGTCCGCGCCGTCCATTTGGGCCTTGTGAGAGCTGAGGTCGCTCTGGGACTGGGACGGGGCTCCCTGTTTCCTTCCCCACCCCCCTCCCATCTCCTTTCTTCCTGTTGCTGATTCGTTCCTCATGGCTTCATAACAACGTCCCTGCTTGTGAGACTTAGACTAAGTTTCTCTGGGACAATAAAGTACACCACGGCCCTAACCGGTTTGGCTCAGTGGATAGAGCGCCGGCCTGCGGACTGAAGGGTCCCAGGTTCGATTCCGGTCAAGGGCATGTACCTTGGTTGCGGGCACATCCCCAGTAGGAGGTGTGCAGGAGGCAGCTGATCGATGCTTCTCTCTCATCAATGTTTCTAACTCTCTATCCCTTTCCCTTTCTCTCTGTAAAAAATCAATAAAATACGTTTAAAAAAAAGAAAAGAAAGAAAAAAAGCAGCAGCATACCATGCACTGGGCCAGGCTCCATCTCTCACCCGCCTCAGGGCAGAGAACGCTAATCTCAGGGGCGCCCTGAGGTGAGAGGCTCCTCGGAGCGGGCACCCCAGGCCCTGCGGACGGAAATGTCTTGTTCCCCAGCGAGGGCTCCAGAGACCGGCCCGAGGACTCGCTCTGTAAAGCCACCCACCACCTCTGACGCTCCGGGCAGGGTAAGGGCCCCTTTCTGAGCATCGCAGTTTGATGACCCTCGAGGGGTCACCTCTGACTCCAAAGAAAGGCCTGCACGGAGCCCGCTGCCCCTGAGGGAGACGTGCAGGCAGAGGCACCCACACGCCGCGCTCCACAGCCTGCGCTTGCCACCTACGGGGACGCTGCGCTCAGACGGGTTCTCGAGCATCACACACAGGGTCCGGGGCCAGAGCTCTGGTTACTCGAAGCCAAACTCACAGACCAGGACCCGGCCCCGACGTCCTATCGGCACTTTCCACGCAATGACAGCGGGGACGCGCCCGTGAGCACCGCCCTGGGGCTTCTCGGGCACGAACACTGCTTGCTAGCCGTGCAGATGCCAAACGCACAAAAGATCGACCCACTGGATTTCGAAAACTCGATTTCCGCGTTGTCCTATCTCTTCCTTCTCGTAACTCTTGGGTGCAAATATTCCGACTTCAAGGACTTGGGGCCCCGACCCCTTTTCCCAGCGGGAGGGAACAGCCTCCTGACCCTCGACG